TTGATAGAGTGATAGAGCTTCATTATAGTTGTGATAATCCGACACACCAAAGCGAATAATCATCTCTTTTTCGAAGTTTTTCCAACGAATCCGTTTATCCTCCTTTTTGTATACCTTCGAAAGCCATTGCCACCACACATTTGCTTCTCCGTCAAGATAACAAGCAGCATACTTCACTCTTTCCGACTTGGGTATATCATTAATTTCAAAGTATTGACAAGCACGATTTAGCCATGAATCAGGATCCGTACCATTAAATGTCGGGAGAGTTAACTTAGGCCTTTCAACCCTTTGCCTTCCACGGTGATTTGACCCCCTTGAACGAACATCTTCTTCCTCCGGAAATTCGTTCCGATTTTCGTGATCCTCCTCAGATTCGGCTGACCCTTCGGAAGATGATTCCGAATGGTTACCCCTCATAGCTCGTCGTCCAACGGTTTGGAGCATCATCCTCTCGAGTCTTGCCATCGTTTGATTCGTAGACTGAATTTCTTCGCTCATTGCACGCATGCTCTCCTCCATATGATCCATCCTCTCTCGATTAGTTGCCATGATACACGATTAGTAACTCTCAATGAAAGCACCAATGTTACGAATCGTGTATCGAATATCAGATTTTGTATCAAAACCGAATTAAAGAACCCGATTTAGACACTATGATTTGCTTGGAAACAAGCTTTTCTTAAGAAATATGATAAAGGTACAAAAGATAGTCTGATAATCTCCAAAAAACGCATACAAATAAACCTACTAACCACCCAAATGCACTTGAAATGAAAAGAAAACTGAAATAAAAAATTGCTCCCGCCCAGGGGTTAGCGCCGCTAACCCCCCTTAGCACCGCTAAGGGTCATTAGCGGCCGCTAATCATCTTAGCGTGAATCCTCTGTCCCTTTCACATTCGCACCCTTAGCGGCGCTAAGGGGGTTAGCGCCGCTAACCCCTGAAAGTTCAGAATTTTTCTGCAGCTTCATTTTAGCTCGACGAGCCCGGTTGTACGCGTTCTTCAGCTGACGGCCCTCATCCGCATCATACATTTTGCACGCGCCCCTCACCCCTCAAAACTAGAAAATTAAGAGAGTGTAGTGCACATTCCTATTTTTCTTTTTTTTTAATTAAAAAATGAGACATATTACATAAATTAAAATATCATTAATTATTTATATTAAAAAAATAAAATAAAAATACCAAAATTCATAATTTTTCATTCTCTATAAATAGAAACCACATTTGATAGGTTTTTTTAACACAACTAATTATTCGTTTTTTCGTAATTATTTTATTATACTAACATATAATGAACATGTTACATAATAAGATGAATATGTTTTCAAATAAGATGAACATGTTACAGATTGCAGATTGAAAATAATACATATTCATCTTATTTTATAACATTTTCATCTTATTCTATAACATGTTCATTTTATCATGTAACATGTTCATCTTGTTCTATAACATGTTCATTTTATTATGTATGTAACATGTTCAACTTATTCTATAACATGTTCATTTTATTATGTAGCATGTTCATCTTATTCTATAACATGTTCATTTTATTATGTAACATGTTCATATTATTCTATAACATGTTCATTTTATTATGTATGTAACGTGTTTAGCTTATTCTATATTATGTTCATTTTATTATGTAACATGTTCATTTTATTCTATAATATGTTCATTTTATTATGTAACATGTTCATCTTATTTTACAATATGTTCATCTAAATTTCATCTGTGAAAATATAACATTTTCATCTTATTCTATGACATGTTCATCTTACTCTATAACATGTTCATTTTACTATGTAACATATTCATCTAATTATAGATTTCCGTCATAATCTTCCAATAAGATAAATTAATTGTAAAAAATGATAAATTAATTATGTTCCAAAAAATATCAAATGTGGTCTTTATTTGTAGAGAATAAAAAATCATGAATTTTGGTATTTTTATTTTTATTTTTTGATACAAAATATGAAAGATAATTTAATTTATATAATATGATAAATGAAATTCATTACCCAATAAAAATGAGACACATGTCCCATTTTTTTAAAAAAAAGAAACACTTACCTCCTTACCTCTCACGCGCTTTTAGAGAGATGTAATTCACATAAGACTCTGGCACACCTAGCAAGGTGTGCCAGGGCACACCTAAGTATTCGCCGGCTAGTAGAGTCGAATATACCCCAAAACAGTTCTATTCTCATAGCACATCATATGTTTCCATAAATCATTGGTTTAGTAAATAATTAAGTATCACGTAGAATAAGTAAAAATATGTTATGAGAGGCAATAAGATTATAACTTTGATTTGCAAAATTTACATAGAAAATATTTTTATTGTTACTTTTTAAAATGTTTAATTTTAGAGTAAAAGTTTGTGTGTGCGCGCGCGCACACACACACATCCCCTTATCCCCTTATATATTAATTCAGAACGCACTGAGCATACGTGGCTGCTTCTGGTGCTTCGAAATTCTATGTGGCAAAATTACATGCTTCGTTATTAGGCTTGAGTAAATTTTAATTTAATTCCAAACCAAAAATAATTAGGTTCGGATTACCATAAATATGTTGATTATTTAGGGTCATGTTAAATGTATTAATTGCATTTTAATATCATTTCTTATTATAACTATTGAATTGTATATATATTTTATAAAAGTTAATAACTTTTGTATATTTTATCCGTTTTACATATGTAATATATCCAATTAATCTTCTTTTGATGAGCTTCGATTTAACATCCATATTGTATGTATAAAAAAAATAATTTATATTTATCTTTATAACAATAATAAAATAATTTTTAATATTAATTAGAAAAATAAAATTATTTATCAACTAATATATTTATATTTCAAGTAGTTATATGATATAAGTTATAAAAACTAATATAATATAACACATGTAACTCATAAGTAACACATAACATTCTAAAATATATAATAATATATTTTTTTGGTAAAAAAGTAAACTAAATTTAATATAGTTTTCTCATTAATTTTAAAATTTATATATAATTTTTTAACAAGCACCCGTGTAATACACGGGTGTTGTATTAGTATAAGATAAATAGTAATAGCAGTAGCGTTATTAATAAAACCCAAAATATTTAATAATAATAATAATAATAATAATAATAATAATAATTTTGAGATATACATTTTTCCTATAAATTATTTTATTTTTATTTTTATTGAAATTCTTATATATAATTAATTCTTATAATATTTATCCAGTTGTGAAATTAATTATTAATCCAATGGTTGAATCGGTGATATGAAAGTCAACCAGAGTCATTGTCTACACGTGTTTCAAAACAGTGTGTAAAATAAAACCTTTAGAATCATTCTTAACTTTTGTTGTAAATGACTAGTTTATTTGAAGAGTAAATAATAATAATAATAAATAATAATAATAATAATAATAATAATAATAATAATAATAATAATAATAATAATAATTAGATTTTGAGATATACATTTTTCTCATTTTTTTTATTGAAATTCTTAAATATATTTTATTAATTTTTATATTAATTATTTAATTATACAATTAATTCAACGGTTGAATCGGTGATATGAAAGTCAACCAGAGTCATTGTCTACGCGGATTTCAAAATAGCAATTTATAGTGTAAAATAATATCTCTAGAATCATTCTTAGAAATGACATGTTCATTCATTGAGAAGATGGACAATGCCACCACGTTTCTTTATTGCAACCAAAGTTGATCAATGTAAATGAGAGCAAAAAATCTTTTGTTGATTTTGCGCATGTTTAATGGTGTGTGCAAACTCTATAATCTTAAACAAAATATAATGGTGTTAAATTTATGATTTTTTATTGTAAACAATTATTTATTTAGGATGTGTGAATGAACTGTGCAACTAAAATGAGTATATTACATTGTGACATGAACAAAATAATAATAATAATAATAATAATAATAATAATAATAATAATAATAATAATAATAATAATAATAATAATAATAATAATAATAATTCAGATACGCAATTAATCTAACGGTTGAATCAGTGATATGAAAGCCAAGTAGAATAATTGTCTACGTGTGTTTCAAAACAATGATTTGTAGCGTAAAATAATACTTTTAGAATCATTCTTAAACTTTTGTAAACGACCTATCTATTTATACAGTAAATAATCATTTTTTACTTTAAATATTATTTACTCTTTGTCCATGATTTTAATCAGATATTTAGGGAGCTAAGAGCATTTCCAATGGTCTTTCTATTTCTCTACTTTGTTGCCACATTGCACAAATAATCTTATGTGGCTTGAAAAAATTCTAGAAGGCTCTAAATGTATAAGTCTTTCTAGACAACTTCTATTGTATGTTAGAGTATTTATTTAATTTATTTATCTTCTTCAACCAATTAAAATGTTACACATCACAAATAATAACACAATTAACATTGATCATTGGAGACGTAATTTTTTTTGTTTTCATTCTTCATGCTATATAATACAAAATAGACAATTTGTCGTTGGAGATGCTCTAATATTTAAGAGAAGGACAATGCCACGATGTATCTTTATTGCACCAAGCCACCAAGTACAATAAATAAATAAGAAAATAAAACATACTCCCTCCTACTTTATTTAAATGTCATTCTAATTTTATCAACTATTAACTAAATAAATGTTGTATTGGATCTTTTGTACATAATTTTCCATTATTACCCTCATTTAACTAATAAATATATTACGTCTTTTCACATTCACTCTTTATTTTTTTTCAAAATATTCATCTCTATTTTCATTAAATAAGATTATTATTGATAAAAATAATTATTCTTAATTAATGTGCAACTTCTCAAAATAATTAAAAATAGGAGGTAGTATCCAAAATCAAATAGAAGAGGTGACAAAGGCACGTCATCACCACCACGACTTGGATTTTTGGCAGTTGAGTGGCCACAGTTGATTCATTTCGTCCTTCCCTCCAATCTCACAACTTTTATGCTCATCGTCCTTTCTCATCCACCACACACACACCCAACTCAGCTTTTAGACGCGGCGGTGATGAATTCTGCGGTGGCGGAGATGGCCGGAGGGAGAATTGTTCCCCTATCGCCGCCCTTCATTTCTTCTGGTTATACCTGCTGTTTGCTCCCTCTCAGGCGACTCTCACTTGCTTCTTCAGGGATTCGTGGGTCTAGCTTATGCAGTGCCTTCTCCGCCAGAAATCGAGCTCTGTTCCTATCCGAAACCCTGGTTGAATGTCGGGTCCCAAGACCTAGACTCGTCAGCGCAGCTGCCGAGTCAACTCAGTCATCATCTATTTCTCCCCCTACTAGTGCCGACAAATCGATAGTCTCAGACAACGAGTTCAGTCTCGCCAAAGTAAGAACTTATTTTATTCAATGTTTACGGTTGATTATTTAGTCATCATAGGACTAGAGGTGTCAATGTGTCCATGTGGGTTTCCAATCGACACGATAGAGACATATTAAAGGGTTCGTCATGATAATAGCTTTTAGCACACTATATCATGAATCATCAAACGCAAATGTACTAATACATTTATTCATCAGGTCGTTTTCGGGCATATACGTTACTTATCTTGTCGATAAAGCTAGTGTCACAAACACAATGAAACGCTAATCCATTGTTTTCAAGTCATGCTGTACTATTGTGTCTTAATTTTCCACTCCTACATAGGATCATGCATCTTCTACATAATGCCTTTTTCTTGTCCAATTTTCCTGTAGTAATATTATGCATAAAGCAACAGAACAAGGTCACCTCGGCTCTTTAACATTGCAAGGAAACAATAATGTTGATTTCGAGGAAATAGAGAAAGTATAGAAAATTTTTAGTTTCAATCATATGATTTGTTATCTTCACGATGTTGGTTGTTTGAACATGTTCCTATTTGTATGTTGTTGTCGTGATCATTTTGGCTAGTGAACTTGGAAATGTCTTTAAAGAATGGTGCCACGTTATAACATCTTTTCAATGTCTTTAAAGGATGGTGCCACGTGATAACATCTTTTCACACACCTCCAATATTTCCCATTTTATGAGGTTCTGTTTCATTTGATGATATGTATGGATCGAATTGATCTTAAAACCATCAGGTAAATGTCTAGTTAAAGTATTTTCAATCAGTTATTTCACCTGTTTGCGCCCGAACTGACATTTTTAAGACAAAATATGAATTTCCCAGCATTGTGTGTTTTAAGTTTTAAAGCACCAGCATTATGTGCTTTAGTACTAAAATCCAAAAGAAAGGTGTCAACAAAGAAAATTGTTCTTGTGCAAGAGTAAGGAAGTCTTAGTCACTAAATAATTTGGTAGATTAGTTTTAATCCAGCATAATATTCATTGTGCAATAATTATGGTGATAACAAACAATTTGTAGGTGATTTATAAGGTAAATGGTGAACATGATCTATTTCCTTTGTCTTGAATGAGTTGCTTTGGTAAGATTACTTTTATGTGGGTATCCAGATAATCTTCCATAGCGATTTACATCTACGGTAAAAAACGAGGACTTAAGTTACATCTATACATATATTAGCTTGTACGCATGGAAAATTATTCTTATGCAACATGGATGGATTTGCAATGTAGGAAAATGGATGTATAAGCATTTAGACGAATCACAATTCACAGAATCTTAACTTAGCATACAGCCACTGAGATGGCTTTTCAATTTGACTTGTTAAATTGAACGTCAAGGATATATGGAGATCAAGTTAGATCTGTTTACTTTGTGCATTTTTTTTTTTTAAATTCCCATTATTTGGTAAACACTCCGAATATAATCTGTATCGTTTATAATCCCTTGCCATCTTCTGACAATTGTATCCAGGTTTCTTTTGGTGTCATTGGATTGGGTGTTGGTGTTAGTCTTCTCTCGTGAGTATACAACACTTTTATTCATTAAACATATGTCTCTTTCGAGTTTTCACTATAGACAAGGCTAACGATATGATTCTCGCATCGAATCTAGCTCTTTTTGCTGTAGTATTTTCCCGGACGGAGTTCCAGATATTCATTAATCCGTTGATAACATATTCCAACAAAACTAGAAAACCTTGTTATTGTAAAGAGTAAAAACCGTGGTGCCTTGATCTGTTTGAAATGCTCCAGTCCCATGCATAAACAGTGTTGGATGAGTAGACTGTTTTGTTTTTCTTGGATTGATGAGAAAGGATTCAGCTTGCTTTATTCTATGATATTTTCAGCTAAAATAAAGACAAAACTTGAACACCAACTTTCCTAAATACATATAATCACTCTTTGGACAAGAGTTTATATTCCCTACCATCACCATCATCTATTCATGTAGAAAGATGTAGTTGGAAAGAATAAGTTCTTTGCTCACTCGCCAAGCTAACTTTCTAGTGAAGGA